AAGACAATCTGCTAACTGAGCTTCAGAACGGCGAAGAAAGATGGCGACACCCAGCTCTATCTGTCGTTCCCGCCGGACGACCACACAGTCTCTGCACGAATCTCGATGACGTAGACGCCTTGAGGTCCACGTGGCAGGGGTGAGCACCACCTCACCCCTGCCACGTGGACCCAAGGGATAAACCATCAATCCTGCTCTATGGTCAACTTTCCTCGCGGGGTCACTCCCATTAGGACAGTGGGAAGGTTAAAAATGTTACTAGAACCAAACAAAGTCTCGATATTTGGTGGACTGATAAGATTTCAGCAATCAACAGAATTCTAATGTTCATGAATGTAAACAAAACTAAGTAAATTATCTGCCTTTAAATCAGTAAATCCTAATCCAGTGCTTTTTTTGTTTCTGTACAGATTATGCATAGAGTGAACCAAATCCAGGATGGTCCAGCAATCCCACTTCACCAAGATGCTGAGAAAATGAAACAGTCTGATGTTTGTGTGCAGCGATGGAGCGGACAGAGACCAAGAGCTGATGAGCCGAGGTGAAGAGGTCAACTGTTACTCCTAAATCTAATTCACGTGTACGATCTGGGAAAAAACCTTTTTCAGGTATTGTTGTGGGCCCAAGAAATTCCGTGTCCACTGGAAGAATCAACGAGTCACATTGGAACACAAAGTGAGCTAGCATTAGCCTCATCCTCAGCTAAGTCTTCTACGTGAAAGCACCGGCAGAAGGGCCGAGTGGGTTTAAAGACTTTACAGCCAAGTGTGTAGAACAAGATGTTCCCTCATAAAAAGGTTAATCAAACATCACCAAAGATAAAGTCCTCTGTCAAACTGGAGCCAGACAACAGAAGAACTTAAAAGAGAAAGTTAGCAACACAACAGACGTGTTCCTGATCATCATCTGTGACTCACTCGGGGCAGCTGTTGCCAAACATTATTAGCCGTGTGAACAAATTCCTGCTTTGTAAAGTTTGGTCTAGGAACCTCCGTGGCCCCTAGCAGCATTCTGGCGGGCCAGTAACGGGGTTTCAGACTAGGGCTGGGCGATATGGCCTAAAATCAATATCACGGTTTCACCTCCATGACGATAAACGGACAATACATGTATGCGCAAAAATAAAAGTCGTCCACTAGATGGGGCTGTTGCGTGTATTATAGGCAGTACAGCTTCTTAGTCACCAACTTACACACATCTTTTCATTTTTTTATCAGATGTATTGGCATGGGGGAAAAAATCGGTTGGAGTCAGAAATTCCGACGACGATACATTTTCGATTCATCATCCAGCCCTATTTCAGACCGATAGAGAGCTGTGATTGGTCCACAATGGTGGGCCAATCCTAGCACTCTATCTGCTTTGTGGGTCAATCAAAGACCTTTATTTGTCTGGCGGCTGAGATGATGCAACGGAGTGGAACAAGATGGCGACAGCTGGCTTGGAATGGCGTTTACATCATTTTGGGACTTTTTGGACTTGGCCTTCAGGAGCAGATAGATGTATTTAAGTCCTTTATTTAGAAAAAGGATGTATTTTCACCTTCCTCAACAACACTGCCTTGTTTACTGACACGCGTTGTGGTGAGTATGTCCTGTCGTCCGTTGTCCAGTAGCATGCGGAGATCGTTTGAAAGAATGGCATAACCCACCCCGGAAAGGTCAGTGGAGCGTTGACTAAATAATATATTTAATTGGTCTCGCTTGTCAGGCTAAAACATTTGACCTTCTCTCACTCATCTCCAAAATCACTTCATCCTCACTAGGGGCCTTTAAACCTATAATATAAGGACATTTTGTCTTGTCCTCACACAGTCCGACACTGTGAAATGCTGCAGCTAACCCACCGTAAAGGTGTCTAACACTGCATCACAAAAGACATTAGCGACCAAAACAACAGTGAAACTGAACGGACGTATGCAGCAGAAGCAGCGACAGAACCACCGGGACCGCTCCGTTTCCGCCTCCTGTGAGGGAATATTTTAAACTCTCAAAGCTGCTAAAAGAGACATTTAGGATGATGTCTTGTCCATCTGCAGAGCTGGCAGAAAAAATCTGCAACATCTTTAATTTTATGCAGGCTGAACATGAAGATAGGCGTAGACTAACTCCTGCATTAGATTCTGATATAAAACAGACGGGAAAACTTTAGGATTAGAAAAGCCTGACAGATCTACGTCACACTGCCCCTCAACATTCATGGACTCACCCATGTTCACTCACAACGGGGAAGGTTGCGGTTGGTTTAGTGTAGAGCTGAAACGATTCCTCGAGTACCTCGAATAATTCGAGTACAAAAAATCCTCGAGTCAAATTCTCTGCCTCGAGGATTCGTTTAATTCATATTTAATTAATTCATGGCTTTGCAATCGCCTGGGGTCATGTTTCACCCGGACCGAAATAAGTGACGCACATGCCCACTGGACTGAATGCACACGCGAGTAGCGAATATAACTTAACTTTCTCTTAACAACGTGGACCCCGGTGGAGTGCGAAAAAGACAGAAAATGTCAATGGTGTGGGACCATTTTTCACGTCGTAAGGCGGAAAACGTAGTCCAGTATAAATACTGTAAAATGGATTTAGCCTACCACAACACCACATCCTCCATGCTGCAGCACCTGTAAATGTCACTTCTGCAAGCGGACTCGGAGCCTCTACAAGATAATGCATTTTAGCCTGTATTTCTATATATTCTGCGGACACTGTGCGACTTTTCCGTTTGTAGCACTTAGTTTCAGCTCACACCGTACATCTGGTAACAACACGTCGGACTTAAAATGTGCTAAAAATAGCAGATTTACACAATATGTCGGACTTTCTATTGTGTTATTGATGTCTGTTGTCCCTCGGGGTTTCTGCAGGAGGACACGGGTATTTATGAGTGGCGGAGGAAAACGAAAGAAAGTAAATACATGTTTTGTGATCAGTATAATTTGACAAAACCACAGCAAACATGCTTTTGGCAATCCTTGTTAGTGTGAGAAAAAAAAGTGTAGAAATTAAAACGGACGTGTGTTAATAGGGAAACAGCCGGCGAGCTGTTTGCGACGTGAGCGGTTCTGGTTCTGTTTGGGCCGCAGCCGCTCGCAGCGTTATCCTCCTAGTTTTTGTCTGGCTTGCAGGTTAGCAGATTCTCGCACGAGGGGAAAATCGGCTCAGGTTGTTTACTTATTTTTTGCACACGCATTTGTTTACTGTGAAGTAAAGTTGAAGTGCTGAAGTTATGCAAACTAATTTTGAATAAAACTTGAAGAATAACTGGCAATTGCTTGCTCATTTTAAGAAGTCTTTCATAATTATAACATGCTATTTGATATCAAATCACTTTTATTGTCACGTCACATGTGCAGGTACACTGGTACAGTACATGCGAGTGAAATTCTTGTGTGCGAGCTTCACAGCAACAGAGTTGTGCAAAAATACAGTAATGTAAAAACAAGTAAAATATAAAAATGGCTAATCTAAGTATACAAATGAATAAAGTAAACAATAAGATAAGAGATATAAAATGTACAGAGGTTGGTATGTGCAAAACAGTGGCATTAATGTACAGTATGGAGTGTGTAATGTTGGAACTTGGTGGAGCTCGCGACGAGGCAGCCATACTCGGCGCCATCTTGGCTCATCAATATATGATATAATGGTTTACAAACACAAAAGGGTAATTTATTAGAGTACTCGATTAATCGAAAAAAAGATTCGATAGAGTACTCGATTACAAAAATATTCGATAGCTGCAGCCCTAGTTTAGTGTCCTGGAAACAGCAGAGAACGTCTCTGCTAGTAGAAGCTAACCGTTAGCATTAGCAACTCCACCACACTGCAGAACTCCTCTGGGCTTGAGTTACTTGTGGAGATAAAACATCAACGTTGCAGAGCAAACAGAGTCAGTAGTAGTCGTCTTGCCGTTCTCCAATCAGAGGAGATATGTCCAAATATCAGGAAATAGGACTCCAAATCCTGTCGTCTGAAGCTCAGCTGTGCTGTGGCTCACTTCATGGACGTAATTGCCCCCCCCCCCCCCCCCCCCCAACCACCCACACACTTTTTCCAAAGTCAAGTTTTGACCCCTGCACTTTTTGCCATCCAAAAACAATATTACGCTTTATTAAATAGACACTGGTTGGGCTGTAGGACCAAGCGGAAAACAACCGTTTGTGTTGAAGCCTGTTTAACATTAGAGCATACTGTAAAGATCCCCCCGTGTCCCGTCCCCCCCCCCCCACACACACACACACACTTCTAAAGTGAAAATTACATCCATGCTTCTAGTTCCTAGTAATGGTGCACTGATGTATTTTTCCCCAGAGTACGACTTACAAGGGATGGATTCCTACTAGATACCCCTGCAAATGTACTGATTAAATGAGTGTTTCACACCTTTAAGAGTATTTTAAATGTTTTAAACTGTAGTTAAAAATGACAGACGTTACTTTGATTTTACAAGTGAAACTTTCTAAGTTAAATCTCTGAAAAGGAGCAATAGATATCTTCTGGAGTTCAGAACCTGTGTGTGTGTGTGTGTGTGTGTGTGTGTGTGTGTGTGTGTGTGTGTGTGTGTGTGTGTGTGTGTGTGTGTGTGTGTGTGTGTGTGTGTGTGTGTGTGTGTGTGTGTGTGTGAGTGTGATTTATTTATCACTGCCATTGATGACTAAAGTCCTCAGTTGAATTTTTGAACGGGGCGGGCGTGGGAACGAGCTCACACACCTTGGATCACGGCCATCACGGCCAAGTGATTTCCATCCTTGTGTGTCACACGTCACATGATCACGAAACAGACAATCTATGAACTATGAGATCATTTTGGGACGCCGCTACGCCTAACGCAAGGCGCTAACCCTTCAACAACGGATTGTGAAAAATGAGAAAGGCTAGAAACACGCCGATTCTTCCTATAGTCATACCTCCAAAGTTTATAATCGCTGCAACTCTAGTGTAACATACGTTGTGTGTGTGTGTGTGTGTGTGTGCTTGTTGTTCTCCTAAAAGCAGCCTCACCCTCTTCAGAGCACACGCTTTGATGACCCTCTCGTACTTCTGGGGCTCCAGCTCTTTCCCGAACAAGATGTTGCTCCGGATGGTTCCGGGGAACACCCAGGGCTGCTGGGCCGCGTAGGTCAGCTGACCTCGGACTTCCACTTTTCCTTTCTCAGAGGGAAGCTCTCCAAGGATGGAGCTCAGTAGGGAGGACTGTGGCGACAAGAGCAGAGATGTTCAGTGTCCAACATCAATCGGCGGGATCAAACACACCAGGAAGTAAGAACACGACGGACCTTTCCAGCTCCCACTGGTCCGATCACGGCCAACAGCTGACCGGATTTCAGAGTGAAGGAGAGGCTCTGTAGGGACGGGGCATCCAAACTCTGAAACGTTTCAGAACAAAAATCCTACAGATTAGATTTGCACCAACTTCTTTCATCCAATCGAACAGCAAAACCCGTCAGACTACCAAGACAGTGGAGTCTTCCGGAGCTCTCCCACCTTGTCCCAGTAGCAGGTGAGATCATGGATCTCCACTCCAGGATCCTCCTTCTCCTGCTGAGGCAGAGCGGCCCCATGTTTGGTGATCTCATCCAGCAGCAGGAACTCCTGCATCACATCAAACAAGATTATTCACAGACTCAGAATAAATAAAACCAGCATTAACGAGAACTTGGTATCCAACAGATTATGTGCAAAATAATAAATATGACAATTCAAAGTTCAACTAGTTAATAAGTTACTTGGAAACTTGGGATTTTGCAGCTCAAATACTCGATCTATATTTATTATCTGGTTGGACGGTTAATCAGTCAGCAGATGAAATTAACTGTTCAGATGATTTAACAGTCAATCAAAAAATATGAAATCTGAGGATTAGTTCATCCTAAACCAGCCCAACGATTTCACATCTGTTGGACGATTATTTTAGCCAGATTATTAATTAATCAGATGATTAATCGGTCAAATGATTCGTCTTTTAGGACATAAGATTAGCAGCTCGAGATTCTGACATGTAGATTATATGGTTGCCTAAAACACGATTAATAAATTGGACATTTAATTAGTAGGATTATTAGATTACTGTGAACTTTACCTGGTCAGACAAAAAAAATCTGTTAATGGTGTGGATGATTAATCTGATGTTTGATGTCAGATCGTTTATTATCGGTTAAACAATTGGTTTAATCCTCATTTATCAGAACAGAACAAAGTTCTCTGATGACCCAGAAGTGACAGCAGGACCAGAGTTCAGCTCTATAACTACAGACTTATCTTTATAGTGTGTTTTACTGCTGCGGTCACGCAGATTATATGCTAAACTAATGAAATAAGCTGGAGGGAAAGCAGCTGGTTGTACTGTGCTGGGTTAGGGTTACAGCTGAACTGGAACATAAACACAGGAGTGTTATACTTCTGAGCCAGAACCATCCTGGGTCTGATGATCTGACTGGAGTCAGCCAGCTTTAGCTTTAAACCCAGACAGGAGGAGAAACCATACCTGAATGCGTCTGATGCTGACGCGGCTCTCGAACACCTTCTCGATGGCCGAGGGGAAGAAGAGCGTGACAGTGAGGCGCACCAGCCGTGTACAGCGACACGGTGACGAAGACGCGGCTGGCTGAGATGGTGTTCCCCAGCAGCACATAGATCAAGAAGGTGACGAACACGATGATCTTGCTGGCACAGAAGAAGGAGGCCATGTTGATGCCTCGTAGGTAGGAGCTCTTCATGATCTTCGAGATCTCCTTCCTAAAACCACAAAGAGTCCAGTCAGAGAGACCACCGCAGGTGTTCAACGGTCACATGATGGTTACTGAAACCATGCCTTTCACACCTTCTAGAAGTCTGGGTTTACATTCATTATAGGGCTGCAACAAACGAT